AAACATAACATTAATTTCCAGCTAAAATAAATATAACAAATAATGAAATCAAGTAAAATAATAAAATACTAACCATGTTTTGATTAAATATAAATTTGACCCATTAACTAAATTGTAATATAACAAAACTTATAAAATTACAAAGAGGTCCCTATGTCTTATTAAATTCTCAAAAAATGCCCCAGCTCTATCCCCCCACCTGCAACATGTCCGACCAAATCAGTTCTGTTCGCCGCCAACGTTGGCCTACGACGGTCGGCTCCGACGTTTGCCGACAATCTATCTGGCGAATGGCAAAAATTGGTTGAGGTTCGCGTCCCCGTAGCGGCCGACGGCGGGGATGTTGCTGGAGGCTGCAGGAGCGGTGGACTACCGGCAATAGGTCGGAGCCACGGCAGCGTTCGTCAGACCAGAAACCTCGTCTGACCGGCGTGCATCTTAGGCGGAGACTGACGACGGCCGTCTTGATGGCCCAACATTCTTGCGGCGGATGGCGGAAGCGTCGGCTAGGGATTCTCCAGCGTATGCGCCGACCAGGGATGTGGCGGAAGGCGAGGATCGCGGTGGCGGGCTGGTAGTGTGTGTGTGTGTCTGGCAGAGCAACGCGGAGACGAGACTGGCCGGCGGCGGACAGAATGCGGTGGACGGAGTGTGGCGGACAGCAGGCGGTGGATGGCAGGTGGCGGCGGGTTGGTGGTGTCTGCTGTCTGCCTCGGTGTATTTGGCTGGGTTTTGAGGATGTGTAGGAAGTGAGAGAGTGTAAAAGAGTTGTGAGTGTTTTAGATGTGATTGTGTGAGAGAGAGTTAGTGGAGTAACTGGTGGAGCCCATGGTGAATATGGAATGTGTAATTTGACCCTAGTTAGTGGTCAATTGCATTTATTTGACCATGATATATCTATTTAATTACGAGATTGCCATCATATTTTGGCTGATAAATATTAAAACTTGACTTGATCATGACCATTGATATGTCGGATCTAATGGTACATGTTTATTCTTATTTCTTTCACTATCTATCATTCTCATATGATCCCTTCTTAGTTCACATGAGAATGATGCTTAATGAAAGAAATGAGAATAAATTTCAGCCTTAAGATCCGATAATCCAACGATTATAATAAATGTCAATTATCATACTCATTAAGGGTAAATAAGTTATGGGACAAAATCTTTTTCACCTCGTTATATTTCTATTCTTTCTTTTACACACCGGCCCGTCAAATAACTTCTTTTACACCCCAAAAGTCACGAAATGCTATGCGATATTACACTCGCATGTCTAAATGAACCAGCGCATATCCAACTAGACGTATAATTTATGACTATGCGAAACCATTTCGCAGGTGTTGACGAGCGTTTCCGGTCAACGGTTAAAGAGGTAAATAATGAGAAGATAACGAGAAAAAGACAAGGAGATGCGGTTTAATTAGGATTTTATTAAAGGATCACGAGGTCGGCCTCTCGTACGAGGTCGGCACTTGCGATATACTTACAAATTCCTACAGAGTTCTTACACGAGTCTAGAGAGAGAAAATATAGGGAAAACTAGGACAGTTGGGTTTCAACAACCCAAAAATAAATGAGGGGGTTGCTATTTATAGTGCTCTTTAATGCGGCACTGTCAGGTACTGTTCACTGGTCTTGTCGTACAGTCGTTCGGCGGGACGGGCCGGCGTTTCTCTGACTGATTGGGAGTGATTTATGGGTCTTCCAATCATTACCTGCAACGCATTTAATGTTGGTGTGGGATGCATTTAATACGGACATGCTCCTGGGCTGGGCTAGGCGTCCTAGACCTGCTGACTAGTCTGGGGCGTCCCATCGACAATCATTAGTCGACAAATGGCTTTATTTTATTGTTTCCTGGATCCCTAACCCCTTCAGGGGGCCGACCTGGTATGGTCCCGAGCTGAACCATGGTAGCTCGTCCTCCGGTGTCCGCGGTCCTTTATCGATCTCGACACTTAGTAAGGTCGGCCTCGCGGCCGGGATGTCAGGGTGCCGACCTCGAGAATGCGCAAGGTGCCGACCTCGAGACCAGCCCTGACAACCATCCCCTTTGACTTTGACTTCTACACAGCTCGGCTCCCACGAACAATCTTGGTGATCGGCTTCTTCGGTTCGGCCGGCCACCACCCGACTCCCGGTCTCACAGACCGGCATCCTCATAGGAGCCGGACTCGGATATTAACAGCAGATTTAGGGATTGCATATCCAAATCAATCGCATAATTACAAATATGCGAAAATATATCGTATTTTTAAGAATCGCATATCCAAATCGAATGCAACATAATTTACGATGATTATGCGCCTTCTATTTATTATGTTTTTGTGCTTATTTTCATGTGTTTTATATGCTTTACTTTAGTGTTTTAGGTTCGTTTTAGTGTTGACCGGTCCATTTTGTCGTGTTTCGTGCATTATTATTCTCGTGTTTTTATGGTTCGACATATTTTTCTTGTCTTTTTGGTGTTGTTTAGGTCCACACGATTGGAGTCTAGGGAGACGAGCTATTTCCGAGACATTTCCGAGCCGTCCAAGTCACGCGAACCATTTCCGAGCATATTTATTAATTGCGTGGTGACATATATTTGCACATCTCAAGACGAGGAGAAAAATATTTGAAGAGCGTGGGTCAAAGTTTCGAGTCAATCGGAGAAGCGTGCGAGAAGTTAGAGCGAATCGAACATCAAGAGGCCATGACCGGGACTGGACCCAAGACCATGTTCGCGAGATCGCGCCCGTGCCCGCGACCTCGAGAGTGTGCCCTGCTGTGCCGCGCCCCGCGCCCGTGCCCACGACCTTGCGAGTGCTCTAGCGC